TTATCCTATGCATTTTTGTAATCACTGTTCAAAAATTTTCTAATGTAGATAATAATATAAAGATAGTATAATTTTAATATTTGAAGAATTATGAATTTTTTAGAGGAATTTACATTCATTCACTCCTACATAGTAGTATCTAAGAGCTGAGCTTAATTTTTAGTTGAATAAGATGTATTATTTACACTATTTACATCATTCAAACTGTTGTCCTCATCTTTATTGCCATATTCACAACATTTCACCCATTGTACACTCTGACCTTCTTCAGGTGATATACATTGGAATTTTGAAATGAACACTTTATTTAGCCCACAGGGGTAGATTGTTCTAATTCCACATGCCGTGCCTTTTTTGGATATCTCAGTTTCAGTTAATTCTCTTCAGTAACTTAACTCTCCAAGATTTTGTTCCTTCTGTTGTGGCCAAGTATTAAACTTAAAACTCTTTGAATCAAGTCACTTTTTGGATTACTCAACCAACACTTTTATCCACTGACTTTCTGTACACAAACAACGTACTTCAGAATGGGAGCAGATATATATCGACAGGATGAAGGATTGACCAGCAATGGCTAACATATACATGGAATACTTCAAGGAAATGGCATTAGAATCAATATCACTAAAGCCAACTTTATGACTGAGATATGTAGATAACACATTCATACTCTGACCATACCAGGAAGATGTCCGCCTACTACTGGACCATGTGAACTTAATAAGATCATTGAAACAGTTCACAATAAAGAGAGAAAACAACAACAGACTAGTATTCCTGGATTTACTAATATCTTGAACAGAACATAGGTTCAAGACAAACCAACATTCACCAGACAATACCTCAGCTTCAACTCCCTCCACCCATACAGTATAAAGAAAGGGATTGTCCACTGCCTAAAACATTGAGTGATGACCCAAAGACATATGAACAAAAAATGATCTTTATAAGGGTACATGACAGCAGCCACACAAACTAGGATAGAAGAGTACAATATGATAACAACACTCAGAAAACAGCTTCCATCTACCTACCCTATATGAATTCAATACCTGGCCACAGAAGAGAGTTGATTTACTAAAAGGAATTAACTGAAACTGAGATATCCAAAAATGGAATTAGAACAATCTACCCCCATATATCATCTGAAGAAGGCTGGAGCATACAATGGCCGAAACCTGAATATAGCAATAAAGATGAGGACAACAGTCCAAATGATGTAAATAATGTAAAAAGTTAGCTCAGAAATACAGACAGATATTATTTATATTTGAAATAATTTTTATATTTCTCTCACAGATCTTCATAGCTTCCAAAACTTTCATTCAACCTATCTGAATGACAAATTTGAATACTTTTTCACGCCCGAGCATAAAATTTAATGTCTATATTTTGATCAACCTGCAGAACAGCTTATTTGATTGGAGTATGTATTTATATTCACCTGAATGCAAAGGTTTTTCTTGGTGTACACGTTCATTGAGTCTGCTTTATTATGTCAAAGTGAAAGAAACAGCATCAAACCTGGCAGTTTGATTTGATGGTAGTATTTGTGCAGTGTCAATATTCACTTGACATATAAACCAAACTGACACGGCACTGCAAGTGAATAAAAGAAATAAAACCATTTCCTTTTCAAGCATTTTTTACCTTCTACATTTCAAGTATTAAAATTATTCAAAATTGTGATTTTATATTTTGTCAATAAAAATATATGACAAATGAATGAACATATTAATCTGATTTTTTCTATTTATTTTGAATATAGTATAGGTAATATAGATTTTAATAGGAATTACAAAAATTTTAGCAAACAAAAGTGTTTTAGATACTAAAATATAATTTACTGAAATGAGAATTTAAATTAGTTTAGAATCATTATGAAACAACAATAATTCAAAATATATTAAATTTGCTTATTTTATTGCCAAATGCCATGACTTCTAAATGAAAAAAAATTCCAAGATTTTGTTGCTTTTTGTGAAGAGAGTAAATCCCAAATGGAAATTGCCTCTACTCTAGGAATATCTCACAATAGTATGCAACAAATTTATAAATGAAGGGTAAAATCTGGTCATAAGCACAAATATGAAACAAAAGAAAAAATGTCATCAAATCAAAGAAACACCTGATAAAAACAGTTAATCAAATGACTTTAATTTGACAAATGTTGAGGATGTATAAACTATTAAATGTTGTATCTGACAAAATAATTTATTTGGTTGAATTTCATCTAGAAAACAGGTGATGAAAAATCAAATGCAAAAAATGTGCTTCTAAAAGTGAATGAGTTTGTCTCAAACTGGAAAACAAATCTTATTTTCATCCCGTGAATGCCAAACTGAACTTATCCAAATGCATGAAAAATATACTGTTAAAATTGTAAGACATTTAGCATCAATTAGAGTATAGGGAGCAATTTAAGAAGATGGAAATAATGTAATCATTTTATGTAATGGAAATATAGATTTTACAGAATGTCAATGTACATTCAATAAAAGCATATGCCAAATGTATCAAATTTTGTACATTTTTCAACAGGAGGATGCAATGACATCATACATCTCCTAAATTGAATATTATAGAAAATTGTTGGAATGTACCATAGAGGAAAGTGAAATCCAGACTTCATTAACATTCTCATGACTGAAACTGCAAAAGGCCTAACATATATGCATAAAATTGCTGGCGAGCTAATAGTGGACTCTAAGACTATCAGAACAACGATGCATGACAACCTTGTACTTTAGATCATATACCAAAATACCAATGCAACTTCACAGAAAATACATGAAAGCCATAAGTTTAGAAAAATGCAAGAAAGTTACCAGGTACTTCAAGAATCATGGGTCCACTGTTAAAATATTCTCTAATAAGAAAATCTTCACAGTGGTCACTGTTTAGAACTACCAAAATTAATATTACCAGTTGATTTCAATGGCACCTCCCTGATCAAATATCTATCCCAGGTTATGATCTTGAATGTTATGGTTTCCAGCAAGAAAAAATACCCCCATTTTTCTATGAGTTTATAGAAAAGGTTGATACTGATGCCTACTACAAGTATTATGTGTTGCCTCTGGTCAAGGCCAACTATCCAGAAGGCAAAACCAGAATGTGTGAGCCAAGGTGTAGAAGTTCTGCAAAGCTAGCTTTGTTGATTTCTGTTTATCAGACTTCCAGACTTGGACCTGCTAAATTATGCTCTGTCGGGTATTTTGGAATAAGCCAACAAGAAAGATTTCAACATCACTATCAATACTCTCAAAGCTGCCATTAAGATGGTGTGGGCCAAAGTGTCCTGTGACTATGTGGTTAAAAGTTGTGCAGCTTGTCCATGTTGTATTGAAGTTGTAATTGAGAATAATAGAGAAACCCTATTTAATTATTAATTTTGATATTAATAGGCCTATTTATATATAATAAGCAGTTTTTTTGATAATTTTGTTCCCTTACTACACACACACATATACACACACATGCACATACATGTGTGTGTGTGTGTGTGTGTGTGTGTGTGTGTGTGTGTGTGTGTGTGTGTGTGTACATGTGGCCAAGCAGTCAGAAAGTCAATTTTCCAACCATATTCAGTTTGTCAAGGAGGTGATTTCTTGATAAGTTTTCTCAGTTTGGAGGAACAATCATAGGATGTGACACTATCAGGAAGTGCTTGAAAACCATAACACAAATTGACCCAAACCTTGTGAGTGAAACTGGATAAACAAAATTGTTCACAAGCCATCAATAGTTGTGCTAGCACAACTCTCTCGTAGAAATTGTAATTATGGTTCACTCAGCCTAGTTGCAATATAAACCACAAGTTTCTTCTGTCAATATTGAAAAAGCACAAAAAAGACTGAGCAAGAATCTACAACAGGGATTAGCTAAGTACCCTAGCATACAGGAATACTTGGAAATGAACAGCAAGCTAAGAAGCTATAAGTATTCAAAAATGTATTTTTGAGATTAATATCTGATTATTCTGGACTTATTGCAAGTTGTCATATTTATGTGAACATAGTTCAATGAAAGCTAAAGACCTGAAACTCACAATGATACTGAAAATAAGGTATTCAAAAATTAAGAGCCATTCAACACCCTTCAAGATTAACATAATCCCTGATTAAAATACACATACAGATTTTTCATATTAAATGATCACAGACTACATAAAATCTGGAGCTTTTTTAGTGTAGTTGATTGGTTGATTGTTTTTGTTTAGTGTTATATCAACTTCTATGTGTTATTTAATGCTAAAATCTAAATATTTTGTACACAGTTTTTTTTTTTTGAGGTAATAATGGTTTTAGTGATACAAATCTTACACTTTAACTCATAGATGAGAGAAGAAGTTGATTCGTACCTTTCCTAAGGATATTTGTGCATATAATGAAAAAAATGCACTTTGAAATTCATAGAATACAAAATTTATTTATTATACCTCAATAACAGCTTATCAAATGCATCAAACTACTCCACTCGTTAGGCACATTGCTGCACCTGTTGGGGCATATTGATATAAGACTAAACAAATTAAATTAACAATGCAAAAAGTGGGCATAAATGCTATTTTTAATGTAACCAAGAGAATATATGAATCAACAGAAGTAAAAATAATTATAGTAAACCCATGAACACTGATGAGTAAATATTTATCTACTTAACAAAATCTATTCATTCACATTCTTAAAATAAAAATAAAAGCCAAGTTTCTCATACCAAAGTCAGTACATTTCTCATGAGCCCAGACTCCACATTCCAATAATTTTATTTCAAAATTTTTAGGTAGTTCATAATCTTCAACTAAATATAGGATAAAAAACAATGAGATAAAAGGAAAAATGTTCTAAAATAATAAACATAGCATTTTACCTTCAAAAAGAGTTGAATTCTTTCAGATAAATCTACTCTGCATGGCTTTTTTACCTCTTTCTTTGAGAAAACTATTTGTTTTTTTCTTATCCTCAAACTGGTGGGTCTAATGTTTTTTCTTTATTCAGAAAAACCTCCTGTGGAAGCTACTTTTGCTGGGTCGGAATATTTGACATATGATCTTTCCAGTCGGGGAGATTCTTTCATCAGCAGTACTGACCAGCTAACTATGTACTTCAAGACACGACAGGCAAATGGACTCTTATTTTATACAGGTGAGTCAGTAATTTTTTGCAGAATAATCAAGTAAAAATAAGTTCTGGCCTTTATTAATCATTAAAACTATTAAAAAAAAAAAAGAAAATTAATCTTATTGTTAATGTTAATATATTTCTTGACACTCAAGAGAAAATGGAAAGAATAGATCCTATATGCTTGTGAGTATGCAAACAGTAATCAAGATGGATAATCTGAATGAAAAAGAAAAATGTGTCTTGTTAGTTTTAATTTTAATAAACAGAATCTGTTTTTATGCTCCTAAATCATCTGCATCCTTCTATTAAAATAGGGAGATGAAATGGCTAGAACAGATAGTAACTTTGTTCGAAATATAAAATTGTAAAATTGGAAACAAATTTGGAACTCATTAATAAAAACAAAACTAATTTTCACCCTACAGTTGATCGGTAAGGTCCTTAAAAACATTCAGCTCTATTCTCAAAGATTGTATTTTCATCACAGTTAAAAAAATGATAAGAAATTAAGTCCTTGATAAAAATAAATTCCAAGTAAATTGATCTATGTTAATATTTTTATGCAAAATCTAAATGAAAAGTAGTACTAAATAAAACTGAATATCAAACTTTGCTTCTTAGATGATGCAAGTCATTCTTGATATTTAAATGAGTGTTTGTGATGGAAGTCTTTAAGAAATCAGCTGTATTATAAAGGAATAGGAACAAATTGAACTTTTATTTCTGCTTTTAGATAAATTACACTTCAGTTTGTGGCTCTGTACCTTTCTCTAAAACTGAACCAGTGATTTTTTTTTTAATAATCACTTCTTGTTCAGACAGGACTTTTAAGCATCCCCTCATATATATTATATAGATATATAACTCTTCTAATCTATTTATGTATCTCTCTCTCTCTCTCTGTCTCTCTCTCTTTCTCCATATATATATATATATATATATATATATACTTACACATACACCTTATGTTGCACATAAGTGAAAAAATAAACTTTTGTTTATGCTATTTAAGGTATATGTCTAAAATGTAATCTATTTTGTGTCTCATATACATTCACTCTAGAATTATATAAACTTGTTTATAGTATAATTTTTCTTCACTTAGATTTGATTGTACATAAAATGAAGAATTGTAGTTTTAACTGATTCTAAATATTTGCAATATATTTATTATTTTATTCAAAAAATGAATGCATGAGAAAAAATATAATATTGTCTTGCAGTCACTTTTGATTTCAGGGATTGTTTTTATATGAATACATTTCATTGCTTATGTTTTGTATAATTCATCCCATCTTTCTCATTAGTATATTAGTGTATTTTATATTTTATTACATTTTTCAGTGTTGATATATGTAATTTTCAACAATTCTTTTTAGAATGCCTCAGAATACACATGACAAGTATTTGCTCATCTACACAATTCAAGCCAAAATAAGTACACAATCTAGGAATATCTGCTATCTAAAATTAGAAAAAAAATGTCCCTTTTTTGAATGGGTTAGCTTTCTTAATTTATAGGATAAAGAGGACTTATTATCATATTGATATTGCTTACTTGGCAGAGGTTAAAATGTTTGCTTTCTGACCATGAGGCCCAGATTCAAATCTCATCATGGTCGATTTGTCAGGAAAGAGACTTCCTGATGTTATCAGTCTGGAGTGTGGGTGTAGGGGGGGGCGATTTCAGTGTATTTCAGTCTTTTTGGAAAGTATCTGAAAACCATACCACAGGTTGACACAAGCCTTTTGAGTGAAACTGAATAAACAGTACCCTTGGGGGCTGTCAATAGCTGTGCTAGAACAAAGTCACAAGTCATTGTGCCAAGTGTTTGAGTTTGCTGGCCTTGATCAGTTTGTTGATCATGCTAGATAACAAACTCTTTCCCAGAAACTGCAACTAATGTCTGCTCAGCATAGTTGCAGTATAAACCACAAGTGGGCTCTAAAGGTGTCGAACAAACACAAATGTGCCTGAACAAGCATCTGCAAAAGGGATTGGCTAGCCACACTAGTAGACACATATCCTCAAATATGAGTGGTCAGCTATATATACATAGGTAGACTTGGGAAAGGAGATGAAGCATAGCATTTTTATATTGCTTATCCTTATTAGAGTGAGACTAATTAAAATAATCTATGTTTAAAACTTGCTTTTTCTTCCCATATACTTATATATATATATATATATATATATATATATATATATATATATATATATAGAAAAAGCTATTTTTATTATTCAGAGTGATATATGTCTTATTAATGCTTTTAGTAGCTAGATCATTTATCTGCTAGATTCAGATTAAAGCAACACTAGTTTATTTTCCACATGACAAGTTACTTTTTATTTAACAAAGAATATCAGCTTAACTTCAGATCTTGTAGATGAAAACAACATCATTCTGTAATAGTTTTAACATCAGTCATTTATCATAATAAAAAGAAATAACCTTTCAAATAGTTTATCCTATAAAACTTTACCCACTACCTTTTTTAACCAATGTAAAAAAAAGTATTTTTTGATAAGAAACTGTGCTTGAATTGACCATAATTGTTATTCAAAATACCAACATTTTCAGATTCAATAACTTCATATTATCAGTATTGAAAAACATTAGTACTTTTGAAGTAATCAGTCATATCAACAATATTCTTAAATGTAATAGTGGGTGTAATCATTTTGGAAGGTCTTGTAAAGTGAAATTTTAAGATTTTTGCCTTTTTTGGATTGTTGCTTTAGAATTATTGTTTCTTTTGTGTAAAACTAATTGATAATTTGACTTTGTTTTCATATACTCTCAGTGAATATCATTAAAAAATTTCTTACTTAAATTTATAGCACTTGTAAACTTGATTTGACAATGTAATGAATCATAATCTTATTGAATACTGTTTTTACTGTTATTTTCTCAAATGTTTATATCTGCTTGAAGGAATGCCTCAAATGAAAGGTAGGCAAAACAGCACAAAAACAATTGTTTCAGCATATATCCCCTTGGTGAACAGCTTTAAGCACAAGAATTAAACATAGTTGAAACTCTTTACTCATTTTTGTTTATGCAAAAAATGACTTAATCTCTTAAAGTTACTTAAATAATAGAATTTCTTTATTCAAAATAAAAGCAATGGTTTATCATTTTTATTGGTTTTGAATGCAAAATATTTGAAATAGGATGGTTGATACAGTAATGAAATCTTTCTTGGCATCTGATAAGAATTTGATTTCTAATTTAATTCATTTCAAGGAAACCAAGGAAAAAGTAAACCCTCTAGAAATAGGCATACTTTTTTAAAATAATCTCATATGATAGAATATTAATCTTATCTTGAAACCACTTTCACTAGAAAACAATTATTTATCCTATGCTAACACAAGGCTTTATGCTGTAATAAATTTTCTCTCTTCTTTTCAGCTCATCACCTTTTCATAGGTCATGGAAAATATAGTCTTCTGAAGTCTCAGTTTGTCTTAGTATTTAATAAAAAGTTGATTTGGTATGACAGTTGATTCAGTATGAAAGCATGAAACATTTTTCCCCATTTTGAAATATTTATCAGTCAAACAGAACAAGCTCAGTTATATCTGAAAATAAAATTAGAGCTGTAATTTGGATTAGATAAGTAAATATCATTCCTTATTTAGTATCTTTTCAAAAACTGTTGAAATCATAACAGTCCACTTGCCAAATAAAAAATGGCTTCATTTAATTAATATATTGTTTTTTAGGAACAGGGCATAATCAATATAATATAGATTTTTTATTAATTTTTTTTTATAAAGTAGAGATTTACAGTTTTTAGACAATACTTTGTAAATGTTACAAAATACCATTGCCTTTGATTGACAAGTGCTTGATATACAATTTGTTTGATGGAATAATTTTTTCCTTAATCATTTGTTATTAATTTATTTAAACTTTATAGCATATTTTAGACTTAGCCTTTATCATTTAAAAACATTCTGCATTGTAGTTTAGTCAAGACATGCATAAAATTTTTTTATGCAGATCTTTAAAGCAAAGTAATACTCATAAATATAAATCATAATAAACTACAAAAAACTTTGTAGTATTCTTTCAAGTCCTGTAAAATAGTAATAAATCTATTGAAGTTATTAACATATCAATTTTATTAAATTCAATCAGAAACTCATAGAACTAGAGAAACATTTATATTCTAAAAACTTGATTTGTTCAGAACCTTTCTTATTATTTTCTTTAATCATACCACCCTATGCAAGGAAGTGAAGACACTAAAATACAAAGGATTACTGAGTGTGGGAGTACAAAAAAAAAGAGAAAAACATTAGGGAATGAGAAGAATAGAAGACTAATCAAGACAGGAGATAACAATTGACAGTGCATTCTAATTTTTGAAGATCAAAGTTGGCTGGAAAACATGAAGCCAGAAGAGAGTTTCACAAACAAGAAGAGTGAGAAAAGAAACTGTTAGTATAGAACTTACAGTTACATCTAGTGAATTCAACTCTGAATTTATGAGAGCTTGCCAACAATCTAGTACTGCATTTAAATTTATAAAGTCTAGGTACTATAGTGAAGAATTCATCTGAACAGTTACCACAAAAGTATTTATAGAAAAGGCACAGAGAAACTACATTATGGCAGTGGGAAAGTGACTGAAGATGAGATGCCAGGTTTTTAAACTGGACTATAACCTATATTATTAGGTAGTTTGGAAAATAATGTCCAATTTTAGAATGAGCCTTTTAATTAATATATTATTATAGTAGATGCACACAAATGATATATTACACATTTCTAATAATTAATTTAATATCAATCTCTTTCAGAATTTAATTTAAACATTATGTAACCCTCATCTTGAAAATAAAAAATGAAGAGATGTGTTTACTGTTTTGCATGAGTTCAGGTGTAGTCGTGAGTAATTGACCATGGCTTCATGTAACTGGCAAAAATGCCTAACAAACAGAAATGACAAAGTTTCCAGTAAATAATAACAAAAGAAAGAAAAGCACAGGGCAAAAATTAATACAAAGC